GTGCCACCGTGCTGCAATTGGGTCAGCTCCTGAGACTTAAAACATGCGGTTGAACTATTAAAAGCAGAAGACAAATCAATAGGTCTGGCAGGACACCCCTCTCTTTCCAAGTGTTTAAGGAGCAAGTTAAGACATGTAGCATCTTCCACTCCTCTGTGGGGCTTGTAAGCAAACCGTAGAGGATCCAACATAAAGTCTCTTGCCTGGATGACTGTGGGACAATCACAGCATCCTCCCAGACACTAAGGAGATGCTGTCATTTTAAGGACTGATTAAAGATGTTGTGAAACACTGGACTCGGCTCCTTCGCACACTGTTTAAGGAGCTGTCCACTTATATTGTCTGGTCCACGGCACTTTTTACCGGAATGTGAAGAAATTTCTCACAACTGTTATAAAAGCAGTTTAGAGCATTGACAAATTCTCTGTGTGAATGAATACCCTCTAAAATATCCTGAGCTCTGGTCTTTGCATTCTGGATTCCTACAGTGTTTTTTTTTTTCTTTTGCAATACCAAGCCAAGTCCAGGTTATTGCAGACATTTTATTTTCTAAAGCTGGTCTCTGGGCTTGTTTAGCCTTTAGGATTTCTCCTTTCAGCTCTTTGGTAGCTGCCTGCAGCTCTGATGCCTCATTCTTTAAATTGTGGACAAAACTGCCCAGATTACTTGAAGACATCCCATTCAGTGCATTGGAAACAGCCCCACAGGCAGAGCACTGCTTCCTCATTCCAGTTCTTAATGTACATGATTTGGACTTTTTCCCTCCTGACAACAGTTTTATAGCTAGGCAGATGTACACAGTTATGATGTGTCGATCCCAGAGATGGGAATTTGAGGGATTTAAGAGAGACATGCTGATAAAGGTTAATGTTTTTGGGTTTTTTTAAGACATACATAGATTATAATCATCCAAAATAAAAATCCGGGGCACCAGGGATAGTGTTTGCACAGTGTTAACAACTAGAGACAGAGGCAGGCCTTCTGGTGAATGTACACTGTGGTACTAAATGTATCGCTTTCAGCTGTAGTGTGTAATGTATTTGTGGGTGCGCTGCATTTTGCTAATTCAAGCATCAGGATGATTTTCTGCTTGCTGATTTTGTAGCCTGTGTGTTAAACAAAGCTCTTCACTATTCAGAGTATGTTAAAGCATGTCACACAGCACTGTATCACTTCATGCTGAGTTACTGTAAAATGTTTGTCCTGGTGTCCTCAGGAAGTTGGCAACCGCTATGGAAACTTTTCCCTTGCAACCATGTTCCCTCGGCGCGAGTTCACCAGTGAAGACCTAAACAAGACTCTGCTAGAACTGGACCTGGCTCCAAGTGCTTCTGTTGTTCTTTTGCCAGTGAGTAGTCTACTTTTTAGTAGTTAGTAACTAAGTTACTCAGTGAGTGTTTCATATTCAGCCCAGGCCATGGCCTTAACAGGTTTCCTTGGCAACAATTGAAGTTTCACCTCAGCGGGTTTAGCAGAACGTGGAAGTCCCTGCTAAACCTTAAAAAAAAAAAAAAAATTTCTACAAACCTTATCTAAATTAAAAACTGCAGATTTATTTTATGGTTGGTAAACATTTACAATACTCAAATGTCTTGAGTCACTTGTCATTGCTTTTCTGAAAGAATGTATTACCTTGTAACTTTTTACCCGCCAGCCATAAAAGGCTTGTGTTGTCATCCTGGACGGACACAAACTTGGACGTCCAAGTTTGTGAATGTGATAACTAAGAACAAAGTGATTTAGTAGTTTCGAATTGATACTATAGGTGAAAAATCTCAGATAAGTTTAAATCTCATGCCAAGGTTAGAGCTCAAATTTTCTGAAAGTCTTGTAAATGTCATAACTTGAGAACAAGGGGACCATTGCCAGTATTTTTAAAGTGGTCTTGAACAGTAGTTCTCCAGGCTTAAGAAATTACTTTCAAGTCAAGTCATCTTTATTTATATAGCACATTTAAAAGACATCAAGTGTCGGCCAAAGTGCTGAACAGAGGGATAATATAATAAAA